GAGGGACGCCTGTGAGGGCTGGTCAGGGTTGTGGGAGATCCAGAGGTCTCTGGCGGGCGGGATGATGGGCAGGAGGCTGGTTCTGTGGGGTGAGGAGAGGCAGGGTGGGGGTGCCATGTCGCAGGGGAAGGTGAGGCAGGGGCCGGGGCGGCTGCTGCCTGACACCATCGGCCCCCACACACAAAGGCCAGCAAACGCATGGGTGCTGGGATGCATCCGGCCACGTGGGATCTCGGCAAGTTAGCAGGTGGCTGGTTGAAGAAGACAGTTGCCATCTCCGGGGCATGGCGCGCGTGCCCACAGAGAGGGCTCTGAGTGCTGCCTCTGGCACGCGTGCCATAGGTTTGCCACCACTGCACTAGTCTCTATCCCTTCAATTAAACATGTATGTTATAATATTAATTATAACTTAATTATAATTAGAACAATTAACCAATGGAACAACCTGCCTCCAGAAGTGGTGAATGCTCCAACACTGTAAGTTTTTAAGAAGAGACTAGACAGCCATTTGTCCGAAATGGTGTAGGGTTTCCTGCCTGAACAGGGGGTTGGACTCGATGACCTCCAAGGTCTCTTCCAACTTTATATTATTATTATTATTATTATTATTATTATTATTATTATTATTATTATTATTATAGACCTTAAGTATCAAGATAACCTAAATTAGACTCATCAAAACCAGTATTCAGTATTAGCAACTACTTTTTTTTTCAGGCAACAAAAATGACAGTTGCCAATAAAAACTGCTCAACCTTTGGACTAAGGAACAGCTTTCTAAAATCCTTAACTTGTATGGGTAGACTGTAAGAGTTGTGTCTCATCAATGAAGGATTATTCATCACAATTACACAACTATATTCCATACAGAGCATACTCAAAGCACTGTTTTATTGTTCCAATTTAATGCTAAAAAATTCCATCATAAAGGAAATCTCATTACGGTATCTGGATCTCCCACAAATTTTGCATTTATAATTTTTTCCTCTAATAAATGCAATGAAAATTATATTTCAATCAAAGGAAATATTTCAAGAATTGAATAGTTTTGATTATACAGTGTACAGTACCTTATAAGAAAACTATGAAAATATAAATTGCTAGCTTCTAATAGCAACAAAATAGATTCAACAGTGAATGCAACAAGTACAGTCAGCTATAAAAGTGACCATTGCAAGGAACTGCAAACTTCATTTAAAACTGAAAACAGGATGGATTGTACTGTATTTGGTATGCTATCTTTGCTTTATCTTCTATTGTTAATTAGTTATTTCAAGACTAGCCACTTTTACACACCAATAGAAACTATTTTAAAAAGTACAAATGACAAATATTCCTATACACCTGCTGTATTGTTAGAATTCAGCATGAGTTTAGGAAATATCTTTTCCTTTTACTAAAAAAAATACAGAGAAATCCATTCCACATACTAACTCTTTTGTGAAGACTCTTTTTTGTTAAGCATTCTAAGGATCTCTCATTCCTTCCTATTTGTTCTCTGTGGTGCATATAATACTGTATTCTGTTTTGCAAGCAATCATACATCTAGACATACTCTGGTAAACAGCCAAAAATTAAAGTTATTTACTGTCATACAAGTACTCAGGAGCAGAAATCAAATGCAGCTATAGTGAGGGTGAAAATATGATCCTACAATTGTTGGGCATTTGATCTGCATGCTTTGGAAGTGCTGTAAAAACTCACAGGGACAACTCCACAGTAGTTTTATATTCTATCTATTTAAATTATATTAAAATTATGTGCTTTCAACACATACACTGCAAGCCCAACTCATCAGTTGAACAGAAAAAAATGTAGTCCAAAAAGTTATGGATAAAAAGATTTTCTAACTTGGCTTTTATACAATTAAACTCTCAGCTCAGTGTCATTTTAAGTTATATTGTCTGATGTTTGCCTTAATATGTATAAGTCCAGCTACTGCGCTTTGAAATCATGACTAACTTGTATCAACTCGTCCTATCACGATTAAAGTCAAGAGTGAACTTTAAAACCACCACAGCTTAACAAGTGAATCCAGTCAGTTATGTCATGATAAACCTTCCATGATAGAAAAAGAGGGGGGGGAATGGGAAAGGAGGGAAGAGGGGATGGAAAAAAATTATAAAAAACTAGAATATGAAGTGAGAAATGAAGTCTTAAGCAAATTACAAGTTCTTCCTCCTTTGAGTTATTGGTTTCTTACCCTTTTTGCACTGAGTGTACCACACTTCACATGTACTCAAAGGATTTTATACCACGAATTAAATTCTGGTATAAATTAGAAATCGATTGCAGCAGTTATTGATTTCCTAATAGTGAGCAGAGTTGAATTAAAAAAAACATGAAGCAAGGAAACAAGAATGCTATGGAAAATCAGGAGCGGGTTTCCAGCTGTTCCCTCCCCCTACTAAGCCTGAGGAGACCAAAGCAAGAAGCGAGGCTCCTACGCGCTTCGCCCTTAAGCGCTCTTAGTCCAACGGTCGCTGTTGAGGCGCGCGCCAGGCGGGTGAGTATTCTCGCCACGCCTCCTCCCTACCCGCCAGGTCTAGTCCCAGGAGCCAAGTCGCTCGCGCCTTTCGCGAGCAGCAGCACGCGCCCCGCGCTTTCCCGTAGCTTGGGGCTAAGAGCAGCTGCTTGCTTTGCAGCGGCAGCAGCCACCGCCTCCTTCCACGCCCCGCCGGCACAATTTTTTTTTGCGCACACGCCCTGCGATACATGTTATTTCTTTAAAAAGAAAAACAAAGTAAAAAATAAAAAAATAAAAATGAAGGCGCAGCCACCCGGAAAACTAGTTACACGCGCCCTCTGCTGGAAAGACGCTTTTGCAAATCCAAGAAGTGTTCTGGAAACGAGGTGTATGTAATACAAATATATTTTAACAGGGTTGGGCAGCAGCACTTTTCGCCGGAGAGAGAAGATGGGGAATCCGAGAATATGCAAGCCGTAAGTATCTTCATCTAGGGGGGAATCCTGAGCAATAACAAAAAGGTTTTGCGCAGAGGTCAATTACTCGCACCTGGCCACGCGAAGAGAAGCTATCACACACTGGGCTTCTACTTCTCGCCTCCCCCGCTCCTGGCAGCTGCTCCCACCAAGCGTAGACACGCCCCTACGAGATGCCTCTAGGTGCGCCGTTTTCCATTTTTCAAAGTAGTCCCCTTTCACAGTTTATTGTCCCCATCAACTGGCTCATGGAAACTAAGCTTTATTACCCGCGCCACACAAATCCACGTAAGGTTCCCATATATCCGCAATACAAAACGTGTGGCTAGGTTTCGTGGATATTGAAGGAAAAACTCTAATGAAACGGGGGAGATTGCCATGCTGCTCTTTTTCCAACCTCAACTTGGTTACCCCCCCCCCCATCCGCGTGCTAGGGGAAGAGCAGGAAGGAAAAGAAGGCCGCCCGTTAGACACTCTATCCTCCACAAACCAGAAAGGGCGTAAGAAAAACCCAACTCAAGTTACAGTTCTGTAGTTACCCACAAAGTAAGAGTCAAAAGCGGCAGCAAGATAGCCCATTTAGCAGCTACTTATAAACACGGCTGCAGAACCACGTTTGCTTATTAGAAAAATAGACCAGGAACGAAGAAACTGGACTTACCGGCCAAGCAAACTGAAAAGGTATAACAATCCTCCCCATGTCGTGGTTTTTACCCTGATGAAAATTTCGGCTGTTCAGATAAAAAGTATTTCCACCAAGAACAGGAGTAGATCCGGAGCCGTAGCTGCATGTCCCAATAGGAGTGATTTTAGCCTGATATTCCTTCAAACAGACTTTCACGTAAGTATCACACTCATCCCGAGTACAGTCCACGTTCGTTGGGGGTTTCATGCCATCACAACATTCCCCATTCAACAATTCGCCGTTTACATTCTTTACCGAGTTAATCTGCAGCTCGAAATAGCCCGTGGACTGGGAGACCTAAAAATAAAGAAGCAAAAAGGGAGAACCTCATTAACTGTAGTGTCTAGGGGGAAAAGTGCATGGAGATTTACAAGCGGCCACTCCAGAGTTCCCAACGACAAAGTAGCCTTCTGATAAAACTTAAAACTATAGGCACTATTAAAAGATAGGAAACAGTTCCGCAATTCCGGCTTATCGCAGTAATAGGAAGGCTGATTGCAAGCCGCGCAAAAGACCTGCAGAATGCTCCACTGGCAGCTAAAATAGGCACTTCGAAATTATTTAATACCAGCTGAATAGGCACTCCCCATTTTTAAAAGTAATTGGAAGAGATGCAAACCGTGTTACTGCTTTTTAAATCAATGCGTTCGGAAAATGGATTAAAAACAACGCCGAGGGTACTAACGCGCAAATGTGCAATGCAAGTTTGCCTCCGCGTTCTTCCAAAACAAACATACAATTGGAAGCATCGACTAGTTAAGGGAGCTTGCAAATAGACATCAGTAAAGCCGTAGCTTTCCAATCTACCCCGAAGGAAAATCGGGTTTCTTTTTTGTAGTTTCACAAAACAGAATGTATCTTTTTCTTTCAAAAGGAGGGAGCGACAAGGTACTCAAATCTCATCACCGGTCTAAGTGGAAAGGTAAAACAAACCGTACAAAAGTCGCCCCGATCAATTTCCGCCCAAAGCTAACCCTCCCCGCGCTCTTCCTTTGAAACAATTATCACCACCACAAGCCAGTCCTGCCGAAACGCAGGCAGTTCTTTTACCTGCGTCCATAAAGTTAGGAGCAGCCACAGCCTGAGCGCCGCAGCAAAAAGAGCCCAGTGCCGCCCGCCACAATCCAGCATGCCTGCCGCTCCGAGCTGAACGCCTTTGGATCAGGGAAAACAGGCAAGGACGCGACAAGCCATCGGCCAGCCGCTGCTGGGCGCATCGGCGGCAGGAAGGGCAGGAAGGCTTTCGCCGGGTGCAAGGTGAAAGCTCTCCCGAGCCTTAATCACCCCTCCCCCGATGCTTAGCCTAACAGCCTGGGACCGGTGGAGGCGCAGCCAGCGCTCGCCAGCGGGATCCACCTAGATTACAGCACTCCGCAACTGAAAAGGGAACGGTCTGCCAGCAGCGGCGGCAGCCGTCCCTCGCAACTCTGCTCGCTCCTCTGTGCGCCTCTGCTGTGCGAACACCCAACAAGTAGGTGCCAGAGTGACAGCTTCATCGCCCATTAGTCAGCAGCGCCTCTGCCTTCATATTAATGAGGGGGAAGGGCCCAGAGCAGCAGCGGACGGGTGTGGCCACGCGACTTCTTAAAGGGCGGGGAGGGGGGGGGGAAAGCGAAATAAAAAACGCTGGAGCGTGCGCAGCCGTCGGAGGTTTTTCCAACCTGTCATTTATCTCCCGCCCGGCAAAGGCCCTGCGGCGGGGAGTTGCGCAAGCGGTCTGTTGCGCGTGGGCAAGGCCCTGCCCAGTACGTGCGCGGCGCTGTGGGGGTAGAAAGGGACGTGTGCCTTCTTGCCCCGCAACGTGTGCTAGACTTCGCTTCGCTGCCAGTAAAGGAGTGGTATCTCTTGTGCTCAGCAAGCGTGGTATGCCTATGGATGGCTGTTTACAGTTATACCTGTCCTTGCGCGTTTATTCCAAGATAAATTGCTCTGAATCTAATTTTGAGTGCTTTTTCGATTTCCCCATCCAGGAAACTATACCCCATTCTTCGAGCCTTCAGTATCCAAAGGAATCGAGAAAAATAGGCTTAGTTTACTGCTAGCGTTGGAACTGAAACATAAAAGGCCCGTAAAAGAAGTTTTGTGATGCTCGTTTACCGATAAATGTTCTATAGATAAGGAGAATGACATTATACTAAAACAAAGCAAACCAATTATGGCTTGGCATAATTTTTGAACCAATATTGAGCTCTACAAGAACCAAGGCTAGAACAAGAATAATCGTCATTAAATGGTTGGACTGGATGGGTCACATGATAAGAACCAAAATTTGCAGGTTTGGCAACCTGCTAAAATGTGCTAGGCTAAAATGATATTTGTTAGTTTGTGGTTGTATTGTACAAATTCAACCAGTGTGGTTTACAATTTTATTTTTGCCTGGCTTCCATAAATCATAGCCTAGCGGGTTGTGGAAAAACAGTCATTAGCATTTATTCATTATTCCTTCAGGATCATAAAACAGATTTAACTCACCCAATCTGATGCCTATAGGTGAAGGGTTAAAATCCTCAGATTTCCTCCCAGCTAACATGGGCATTGATTGAGACTTGTAATTTAGGAACACTCTTTAATTTCCATTATTTTGGTCCCTGCCCCCATAACTAACCCAGGACAAAGACTGAAAATAAACATGTATTCTACATCCAACAGCTGCAATTTATAATGAGTTCTTGGTTAATAGTTAAAGATTAGTGGTTATAATAGCACAGCATGTGTGAATGTGGCCTATTGTGGTTTAGTGAACAAACTAAACTGGGTTGATTTCTTAAGCCACAATTAGGGTTTACACATGCTAAGTTATAATGCATGGGTAAATAGACCATAATGATTGGATTTATACAACAATTATATTAAATCTTAATGTACTTTGTGTTTGACATTTGTGTGAATCATATTTGTGAACCATGGTTTATGGCTTAGTGTATTGTTGAGCATATTTATATAAGAAAATGTATATGCCCCCTCCCCAACTCACTCTCAGTCACTCCAGGCAGCTTACAAAGATAAAAACCCAATATAAAAAGCAATAACCCTTCAAATCCCCCACACCCCCACAACAACAATCAGTCAAATAAGCTCAGTCTGAATCTGGCTTTCCCAGGCCCATTGACAAAACTAGGTTTTCAGGGCCTTGCAAAAGAATGTCAAAGTGGGAGTCAATCTTATATCCGTGGGGATGATGTTCTATAGGGAGGGAGCCATCACAGAGAAAGCCCTTCTTGGTCATGCTAGATGTATCTCCTTAGGAGAGGGAACCTGAGACATTCCCTGCCTCCCCCTCTTATTGATCAGGTAAATGTGACTGGGAAAGGCAGTGCTTCAAATAACCTTACAGTCATATAGGGCTTTAAAGGTGATAATCAGCACCTTGAATTGGACATGGCAAATCAGCAGCTCACATGTGAGCTTCAAGTCCTGCTGTATTTTGAACCAACTGAAGCTTCTGGATACTTTTCAAGGGCAGGCTCATGTAGGACCCTTTGAATTTGTGGCTAACTGAGCAATAAAAACCAACTAATGATTCAGTTACTATTGGCAGATAGAGATGAAATGGAATTCTATTTACTGATTGCATTCTATAAAAGCCTTGTCCAAGTGGCACCTTCCAGATGCTTTTGGACTTCAGTTCCAGTATCCCAATCTCACCTTATTTGGGAGGCACCAGAATGAGACAATTTAACAAGTAAAATCAAAAGCAAGTCCCAGTATGGCCATTTCCTTGAAGGGGCTTAAAGTTTCTTCATTGCATTACACAGCTATCACTGAAGTAATACATATGCCTGTTCTCATTACTACAAATTATTTTAATTATTTAAAATGGTTGGATGATTCTAGAACAAGGGTGTCAAACTCACAACATCATGTGATGTGTCATGATGTATCGAAACTTTTTTTCCATTGCTGGCAATGGGGTGGGCACGGTTTCACCATGATGCATCTTGTCTGTGGGCTGCCAGTTTGACACCCCTGCTCTAGAAGATGTTATAAATTGCTATTGGGGAAATGACTGTTGTCTACAAGATACTGAGCCACAAACCATTTAATTGTAATTTAATCTAGGATGTTGTATAAACCGAGCCTATAACTTACCAAGATTAGTTAGTTGTTTATAAACTGATTTGTGTGAACCTGACTTCTGTAAAACTATGATTTAGCTTTATGAATCTAAACAAATAATGTTTGGCTGATACTTCACATAAATGCTTAATATATTTTTTTCAGTTTTGGCTTGGAGCAGTATATAAACTCAACCAATAAAACAGATGTTCCATGTTAAATTGATGTGAAAAATGATATCTACCCAAAAAATAGCATATTATCTCATCTTAACAGAAATGTTTAGAGTGCCAGTCAACTAACAATAGTATCCTTCAAAATAACATTAGTTGTGTTAGCTGGGAATTATGGAAGTTTGTCCAATACAGCTGGAGGGCATCAGATTGGAAGAGGCTCTATAAACTTGTCAGTCACCTTATTCCCTGTATTGCATACCCCTTCCCCATCTACTTCCCTATCATTTTTCTTAACTGTAATATATTAATAGTTTCTGTGACCATTGGGTGCTCAATTCTGTTGACATTGGAGGAAAGGCAGAGATAAGATACATTTCTATAAATCTTAAGGTTTCCCAAACTATGTTGATAAATTCTTGATACTTTTTGTTTCAGCTTTTTGTTGTTGTTTGAAAAAAAATTATTGGAACAAAGCTGACTGGATTCCCAAATTGTAGTATTCATGCTTTGCTATGTAAACCCCAATGTAGTTACCACAAACCAAGCACTTGCATTACCCCAATTTGGTCTAGTGCAGGCATGTCAAACTGCCAGCCCGCGGGCTGGATGTGTCATGCCAAAACCGTGCCCCCCCATTGCCAGCAATGGGGGAAAAGTCGCGATACGTCGTGCGACATCATGTGACATCGTGAGTTTGACATGCCTGGTCTAGTGGCTAGAAACCAGTAAACTGAATTCTCATCCTGCCTTAGCCTTAAAAGCTAGCTGGGTGACTTTGAGCCAGTCCCCCTCTCTCAGCCCATCTCAGAGGGAGGTTGTTGTGGGGAAAATAGAGAGAAGAAAGATTATTAAATAAGTTCACTGCCTTATTTATCAAAATAATAAACATGCAATAAAAAATCTGAAATTAAAAAAGATTAAAAATGCAGCCCAAATTCCTTGCAGTTAAGGATTATCACATCATTACTGTAAATCACCTGTAGGAAACCATTCTTTTCCAGCTGTACTGTGAGTGCTGAAGGTATCAGAGTTGATTTATGTCAGCTGCTTGGGCATCCACACAGTTATATGATGTACTCAGCAGCTTGTAAATCTAAAAAATCTCCCTTTCCTTCATCATTAACCCTTTCATCCTCCGTCACTATTAGAGAAGCATGTTGGGAACAGATAACCAAGAAGTCTGGTTATCACTCTGCTGGGCTTGGAAGCGCTTCATAAAGCAAGCCCTCTGCCCCCCTTTTCAGAAATTCAGCCTGATTCCTCAGCTGCCAACCGGCACACAACTCTTCTGCTATTCATGGTCAGCGTATAGCTGAGCTACAGTACCTCCTTCAGCTGACACAAGAGCAGCTGCTAAATGGGAGCCAGCTGGCCAGCTGCTCACCCCAGCTCAGCTGCTTCTGCTGCACTTCATCTGTCCCATTACCCCTTATGACTCCTGTCTTTTATCTTCAGACTGTGATGGGCTTACTTGTATAGTTGCTGATCCTCACTTTGGAGTCTAGGAACCTTCCTTATCAAAGTGGGTCGGAGAAAGGTAAGAGGAGAGCCAGGATCTGACTTCACTAAGACATACTTTAACCATGGTTTTCTAATTAAGTAAAAGGCAAAAGAGGTATGTGAACTGAAGGGAAACCAGAGTACAAGACAAAGTAGTTGGGTTTACAGCAGTAAACAATAGTTTGGAATGGTTTAGAAATCCCAATGGCTGCATTCACTCATTGCATGTAGTGTAGCTTGTAAACCCAAATCAATGATTTAGTTTCTCTAACATAAGCTATGTTGTGATCGATATTATCTGCTCCTGTGACTAATTGGAGGCAATCAATATTTTGAAATGGTGTGTTTTTAGTAAATTTGTTTGCTGGTTAATTAACTACATCTTAACTACAATTGAGCAGAAAGTGTTTTTTAAAGGGCTACTATATTCTTCATTCACTGCAACTACCACGCAGCCAGGAGTTCATGTCTTCCAAACACTGTCTACCTACAACACTTATTCCTTGTCTTCTTTCAGACCCATCTTATTTTTCAGCCTTCCCAAATAGCAAAGAATGTTGCAGAAATTCTTGAACATTCATATCATTTGTTCCTCCAAATACAATCTTATGCTCTCTAATAAAACCTTAGCTAAGAAGTACAGTACTTGTCTATCCTATCATTGCTTTTCCTCTTCTTATGCCAGGATGGAATGGATTCCCTAGAATCTGTGCCATCCATGGCTGGTAGGGGAAAAAAA